GAATAGGCAGATCTACTGAAATACACTGCTGAAGGGAGCAGCAGGCAAGTCAGGAGAGGTCTGTTGTGCCATGTGGGTCACCTCCCTGGCCAGGGATCAAATTCATGCTGCAATGGCTGTGGGTAGCGTCATATGTTGCATCTTAACCCCTTGTGCCACCAGGGAGGCCCCTATACCTAACATATTAATGTCAAAAAAAGTCCCTTATCAAGTGGTGTCAGCTCTCCAACATTTAACTGTACAGGTTCTGTCTGCTTCTTCCACTCCTTTGGTGTTTTGTTGTTGATTCATAATACTCTTGTTCATGCTTCTGACTTTGTATTCCTGTTATCATTTTGCTGAGGGTTTTGTGTTGCTTTTTTATTTTTTTCTCCTTCTTGAAGAACTTATTTCAACATTTTTTGAAAGACAGGTCCGGGAAAGCCTTTATTTCACCTTCATCTTTGAATGTTAATTTTGCAAGATGTATTTTTGGCTGTCAGTTCTTATCTTTTTGGATTGTGAACATTTTATTCCACTGTTGTTGCCAGGAGAGCGAATGGGGTAAAATCTGAGGAAAACCTAATTTGGGTACCTTTGTAAATTATCTTTTTTCTGGCGTCTTGTAAATTTTTTTCCTTTACTTTTGATTTTTCATAGCATGTGTCTTGATGTCAGTCATTTTGCATTAAGAAATATGGGTGCTTTTTCTGCTTCCAGTCATCCATGCTTATTTCATTCTTTATGTTTGGGAAATTCTCAGCTATTATTTCTTTGAAAAGGGTCTCTGCTTCCTTCTCTTTCTCATCATCTTCTGGAATACCTATTATCCTTATATTTCCTCTTCTAATTGAGGCTGTTACAGGGCAACAAGGGGTACTAAAACTGGCCCAGGGCACTGCTCAAATAGTTTATCAGTCACTGTCCGAATTCTTCACCCGCATGCACAATTGCAAGACTACTCAGGCTCAGAAAACAACAATAATGGAATTTATTGAACAAACCAGGCAAAAAGAGAGTTACTGAGGCCAAAACTGGCCGTTTACCTCACTGGAAATAGTGTCCATTGTTTCAAATCCTAAGCAAGCAGCCTAGATGGTGTCTTCCCACCACTGAGGACACAGAGCTCTTCTCCTGAGCGATAGGCCATGTTCCCAAGATGGTGTCTTCCTGCTGGAGCACTTGGCAGTCACACTATAGGCTGGGTTCCAACTCATGAAGACAACAGAAGTCACAACAGGAGATGCTACTGGAGCTGCCGAGATGCCCCAACACAGCACCAGATAATTGACACTCAAAACAGCAGCTGCAGCACCTGAACGACCCAACACACAGCCACACTCATGCAGCTCAGCGAGGTGCCTGCCTTCAGGTCTTCGCCTTCTCTGCCAGGCTTTAATAACAGCAAGACCAGAAACATTTTCAGTTGCTCGGCTACTTGCAAAGCCTCCGAAATTTTCCTCTCTGAGGTTGGCTCTTTCTGAGGCTCGCACCAGCCTTCTGGAAGGTCAGCACAACAGGGGCCAAAATCGCTGACCCTGGAAACGCTGAATTCCAAACACTGAATCCTGAAAACTGAATCATCTGCAGCTGCTTCTGCAGCCCCTTATATTTCTTAACAGGTGCTCTACTACAAAATGCAATATGTTTTAGCATTTTCCCTGGGGCTATTTATCCTCACCACCTGTAACAGTCTTTGGCTTCAACCACTGGTTGCAATATTCCTCATAGAGTTTCCTCATTCTTCCTGTCTTGTTTCTCATTTTCTTTTCTTTTTTTTTTTTTTTTTTTAGATTTATTTATTTATACAAGAACCAGGGGTATAGGCCAGATGTGTGGGAGGGTGAGAGGATTTACTAGTGACAGAGCAGGGAACAGAACAAGCAAACTGACTGAAACACACTGCTGAGGGGATCAGCGGGTGAGACAGGAGAGGTCTGCTGCACCATGTGGGTATCCCTCTGGCCGTCCAGGATCAAGCCCATGCTACAGAGGCTGTGGACAGCTTCACAGTGCTGCACTCAACCCCCTGTGCCACCGGGGAGGCCCTTGTTTCATTTTCTAATTGGGTGATAGAATCCATTTGTGTCATTTACTTCTGAAATTCTTCTGCCCCTTCAACTGTGTTTAAAGCACTTTCTGTATTTGTCTTCATTGCATTCAGAATCTCTTTCAGTGTTCTTTTAATATTTCCAGTCTCTGAGAAAGAATTCTCTTTGTTCTTGGTTCTCCTTTCTAAGATCTTGCAGCTTCCTGTCTGCCTTTGACCGGATTCCAAGAGCTCATTTAGCATGTTTAATATTGTTGTTTTAAAATCTTTATCTGATTAGTTCTCTATTTCTATACTTTTTCATCTGTGACCCAGAACGTCTGTTCTTCTCCCTTTGGTTTTCCGTCTTATGTTCAAATGCTCCTTGCTTCAAATGCTCCTTGTTTTAAAATTTTTATCTGATTAGTTCTCTATTTCTATATTTTTTCATCTGTGACCCAGAACGTCTATTCTTCTCTCTTTGGTTTTCCGTCTTATGCTCAAATGCTCCTTGCTTCCTAGACATGGGTATTGCCTTATTTGCTTTTTTTGTGTTGGGGCGTTGCAAGTTTACTTTTGTTTCTCTTTTTAGTTTACCTTGGCTTGGGTTGGGGGCAAGAAGTAAATCTAGGGCTTTAATAGTAGGTCTCGGTTTTGCTCAACAGTGAGATTTGTCACCACCACCTTATCTCTCTCCATAGCAAACTCTGTTCTGTGCTCCACTTGTCCTCACTTCCTGCTTTGCCTCCCTGCTGCTCTGTTCTGCCGTGGATGGTGACCTATGAAACTTGATTCTCTTGGTGACCAGGACTCGGTCTGGTCCACAGGGCTTACGCTCTGTGTCTTGGTTGGGCCTGGAAGGCAGGTGCACCCAAGCAGGGTATGTGGCCTGTTGCACAACAGTGGTCACCACCACCAGTGCTGCCCTGCCTAGGCATCCGGGCTGCAAGTGCTACACACCCGCTGGATACTTTCCAAGGAAGTGGTATGTTCTTTTGCTCGCTAATCCCTCCCTCTGCTTCCTGCCGCATGTTCAAATTGACCTGGCGTCACCAAAGACTTTTTGATCTCTCACTTCTAGTTATGAAGCGTGTTTCTTGTCCGTGCTATGAAACTCGCATGTCCCATGCCGCTTCTGTATCCTAGTGTGACTGCATTTCTTTTTGGGAAAAGTCCCTCCTGGAAAATTGACCTTGCCTCAGGGCACCCTCTAAGACCATGGGTAGCCATCACTCAGCCATTCCACTGGCTGGAGTGTCTGTTTTTCCAGCCATGTTCCCCTTTACCTCCTCCCCCGCAGCAAGCCACCACCTTTGGGACAGTTCCTCCATGGGATAGTCTTGGGCCTCTATTGAGGAACTTATGATAATTTTTCTTTGAGAAAGTATTTTTTTATAGTTGTCTTTAGATGATCTCAGCCTTTCTATTCTGCTATGATGTGGTTGGAGGCTCCAATTATTTTATTTTATTTTGCTATTTTTTTTTATAGTAGGTATAAAGAGAAAATCAACCATATTTGTAGTCTGAAAATAACTCAGAGGGGCAAAATTCTCTAGCATTCAAAAGTACGTGCATGATTTTAAACATAATAGTGATAGTCTAAACAGACTGCCTGGGTTCCTATCCTTACCTCACTGCGTAGTTTTGGGCACATTATTCAGCTTTTCTGAGCCTTAATTTTGTTGGTTGTAAAATGAGATTAATAACAATCCTAGGTTGCTACAAAAACTAAATGAGAAAATGCATATAAAATGTTTAACATTATGTCTAGTATGTAGTATATGTTTAATATTAACTTTTATTACTACATAATGTTATGTGACTAGCTATGTGTATAACCAAGAGAGATAAAATAAAAATACCTAGTGATTCACAAAACTATCAAAAAGCACTTTTTCAACTTTGCAAGTGACATACTGTACTACTTGTTGCTCATTTCCCACTATCAGCTGAATGCTGCTTGGTGATTCTGACTTATCCCCTTAAAGGACATGATGGAAATTAGAGGGACCACAGACTTTGAGAAAATGTCAAGTGATTTCTTACTTTGTGTCTCAAAGGTTAACATTCAAATACAGTCGTGAAGAAAATCAGGGGAGAATAGGATATTCAGTCCTGGTGAAAGAGAGCAATTTACCTGCTTGTTACTGACCTCCCAGGCTCCCAGGAGTTGAGCAAAGTCTCAGAAAGCAGAGTTGATGTTTTGTTCAATGGCCCATACTGTTTTAGTGCTTACTGAGTGTTGGGCTCTGAGTTGGGGCTTTACATATAGGATCATTTGAACTTGAAAAAAAAAAATCCCTTGGAGGTAGAAGGTGGGTTCTATTCTTGATCCCATTCTACATGTCATGAAACTGTGTTTTAGAGAATTTGAATAGTATACTCTTTGTTGTACTGTGTTGTTGGAGTGACAGAGACAGAACTGAGTGGTCAAATCCAGGCAGTTAAGCTCCAAACTAAAGCTCTTCAGTCCTTCACCAAATGTTCCCACCTTCCTTCTGTGTGTTCGTTCCCAAGCACTTGTATTGACTCACTCACTCGGCAAGCATTTCTTGGCCATCAGTTCTGTACATGTGGTACCATGAAATGAAGAGATTGAATATTAGGTCTCTGCTCTTGAGTTTATCTAGGTGGAAAAGAAAAGATGGACTATATGTAGTAAATAATTTTAAGGCAGGATGTTATTCCTTTGATAAAGTGAAAGGACTGATTCTGTATGGAAAGTGAAAGGACTGATTCTGAATGGAAATGAGTTGCTCATGCTTGAGTGACTCCACCTGCAAGATCACAAAATATTTCTTATATGGTTTTAGAATGTTTTCTGCTAGCCCCCATCATTCATCTGGTGAATAAAAAATATATATTTATAGGTAAAAGACTTGTTTCACAAATTAGTGAACTTTTTATACTGTAGGTATTTATTACATTTGCAGGTGATCTTAGGTATTTTGTGAAATTTAATTTTTTGTTTTAATTTTTGCCTCTTCTCCAGCCTTCTCCAGAGTTCTAATCAAGAAGTCGCAAACAAAGTCAAAGCTGGACTGAAAAGCCTCATTCCCACATTGGAAAAAAACAAAAACACCAGCAAAGGAATAGAAGCACTACTTGAAAAATTGACTGCATAAGTAGAAACAGTTAAGAATGAGATGGAATCACTTTCCTTGTTTTGTTCTATTTTCCAGAAGAGGGCTAGGATCCTCCTTACTGGTAATATGAATGCTCTGTATATGGGTTTCTTCTTTGTATAAGAGTATTTATAAAATGATTTTTTTAATGATCTTTAAAAAAAAAAAAATCCCAGTCACCTCTGTCGTATTGAGTAGTAAGCAAATCATAATGTGAGGCAATAATGTGAAAGATTTAACAATCATGTACATTAGGCCTAGCCATATATGAAGTAGCTGCATGCATTGATTCAAGGGAGAAGGCAAGGCTTCATGGAGGTGATAGTTGAGAGGACCTCCGAGGAGGTTGTAAAGAAGAACCATGGGGAGCTTAGTGGAAGCAGTGAGGTAGAAATTTTGAACTGACCGCAGGAACTTTAGAGCCTTGGTGGGTATAGGGAGGGAGGAATCCATGCAATGATGGTAACTGTAGTCCTTGCTGCTCTACACGTTGTTTTACATGCTCGATTTTGATTGAAAGTGATTTAAATTAAGACTTGTGCTAATGCATTAGGGAATATGGTGGGCAGTAGTGTTAAGGCCAAGGCCACTGGAAAAATCTCCCTCTTTGAATCTGGGCCTTTCAAGTGAATACCTCCTTGTGATGAGATTTTTTCCCAGGGACTGTCTCCACAGTAGATGGAGCCTGTCGAGTTTGGGTTGGAAGGAAGAAGATACAAAACTGGTAACAGTGCAGAAGTTTGAATTTGAGTGCAAGGTAGGATTTTTGAATCTAAAACTGCTCTGGCGTCTAGCAACAGTGATTAGGAGGAGTAGGTCAGTGTAGCCCAGCCTGTGAATACCTGATGAATTTTGAAACCAAGCCTCGGTGCTTCCACTAAGTAACCTGCTATAACAGGACATCCACTCGGGTCTGTCCTGCAGTTACACCTGCTAGCAAATAGCCTTGCCTCTAGCACGTGACCTGACTGTGGGGTCCGGGACCACTCCCAACACACAAGCTACCAGCACTCCACCTGCTGTCCTCTCTTGCCGGGTGCATTGAACTCTGTTCAAGGACTGTAAGTGGATGCCTTTAATTCCTTTAGCAAGGGATTCCAGCCCCACACTCCACAACCAGCACCAATGCAAACACCCTTCTACCACTCAGCTGGGTCAAATGGTAGAAGTGGGACAGCCGCGGATCTGCTGGTGGGGTGAGGAGGTGAATGGGACAGGTAAGATCAGAGTTTGCTTTTTGTTTGACTAATACATTCCAAGTTTGTCTTTTCTATACAAAGGATCCATTCAGAAAAAGAGGGGAGAGGGAGGAATCCCTGGTTTTTTTTTTTTTAATCTTTGACAGAAAAAAAAGCAAAATAATGTACATGATTTAAAAAGTTAGATAGAGCATATAATAAAAGCAGTAATCCTTTCCCTTCCCCATTCCCCATACTCCTGCCTTACTTCCCCAGAAGCAATTACTTTTCTGCTACACTCTTAAATACCTAGTTTTGGGGTTTTGTTTTGATCTACCACTTTTGGATATTATCTTTTGACTTCCTATTATGGGAAAAGACTTTAATATGTTTTATCCCTGCTATTACCCACTTTCTATCTTCCCACTAGAACTGTATTATTGTTGGTTTTTTTTTTTTTTTTTTGATATATCAGTGTTCAGAATTTATATGATTATGCTGGCACTAATTGTTAAATAGAAGTGATGAACTGTCTTTACATTTCCTATACTATTTTATATTTCCTAGAATTAATAATTACCTCCTTTTTTTTTCATTTGCTTCCTTTTCTACATTCCTGTTATTAATGTTTCCCCAATTTTTTAAAAATCAGAATTGCTTAAACATTTTAACAGGCACCATTTTCCTGTTTTCTGCCTGATATTGTTTCTGTAGTGTCCTCCCTTTTCCCCATAGCTCTGATGTCCTAGCTGATATTGTCCCTCAACTGGGTCATAGATGTGCTGAAATTTTAACAAATCCACCCACTGTGCCCTGGGCCATGCCAACATTTCCCTTGTGTGTCTTGTGCAAAAGAGCACTGATAGGAACAAATCCTGGGGGCCATTCCTAAGGTCATTAATTTAGGGTTAGCAAAGAGTCTGGCCAATGAACTTAGAAAAGAATTGGTGCTCCTGAGAAAGGTTTCTTAGATCATAGACCCACAAGAAAGAGGGCCCCCCTCTCTCCTGCCAGCCGAGTCTAGTATGTGCCCACCAGATGTTGAGAGCTATTGAGCTGTCCTATAACCATGAGAGAAGAATGAAAGTATGCTGAGGATGACTGAGCAAAAAGTGGGAAGAATCTGGAACCTTGATGAGCTGTTGAATAAATCAACTCCTGTTGCTTAGTCCTGGACTTTTGGTTATGTGACAGAATACACTGATTCATCATCTAGGCCTGAGTTTCTGAAGACTGATTTTCATACTGTGCAACACATCAAGTCAACTAGTGTTTCCAGTTTCGCCTGGAGAGACCCCTCTTGGAGCTGACTTTGTGGATGTCCCAAAGAACTGTGGCACGATCATTATCCTAGCCCTTCCCTTCATTTCTCCCTTGGAAAACCCGTTTCTTGGATCCTGTACATTTCTTATTGTTGCCTAACACTCTTTCTTAAATGGGTCACAGTCTAGTAGCTTCCTGGGAAAGTGTGAATATGAGATAAGATTTAATTATGCAAGGCATTGGTCAACATTGTGTCTGACTTGGCAGAATTGCTGTGGAAGGCCAGTTCCCTCCTTACTAACTTCAACATGTGGCCTTTTGGAGCAGGAGAGAGGGCCTTCTCTGAAAGGTTACAAAACTTTTTAATTCCCAGTCTGTTTATATTTCAGAATCATGTGCACAGGCATATGTCGTGCATGTTGAACGTGCTGGCACTTGTTTGTTCAACCATGTCAGTCAGAAAAGTGAAGCCCTTCCATTCTGGCAGGTATACTTATTGTTTCTCTGAATTTTTTCCCCACCCATTTTCCTTATTTCTCTTTGAAAGGACTTTATAAAGATATTGAATGTTGTTGGTCAAAAAAAAATTTGTTGGCTTTTTGTTTTACCCATAGATGAGTGAGATATTTCCTCCACTCTTTCTGTCAGCCTTTCTACTTAAGTGTCCTTTTCTTGTTTCTTGAATGAAATATCTATTATGCCACTGGAAGTGTTGTATTTCATGTTTGTTTTACTTTGCTTGTCTCTATTTGTTTTGCTGTCTGCTCTCTGCATTCAATTTGGTCTCTCTTGTTTGAGGTTTTTTGGGGAGTATTTGATTTAATAATTAAGAGACTTAAAACTGATCAGCAACTGCTGGTGGCACAGCAGTTGAGCGCTGGGCTGCAAAGCTGTCTGTGGCCTCTGCAGCGCCAGTTCGATCCCAGGTCGCCAGCAAGGGTCCCACATGGCGCGACAGACCTCTCCTGCCATGCCTGCTGCTCCCCTCAGCAGTGTATTTCATCGTCTGCCTGTTCTGCTCCCCACTCTGGCTCTGGTGAATTCTCTCACCCTCCCGTACTTCTGACTGTGCCCTGTGCTTGTATAAATAAATAAATAAAATATTAAAAAAAAAAAAAAAGAAATTTTTGTTAAAAAAAAAAACAAAACCTGATCAGCAAGAGAGTAGGCCCATCCTGTCCACTACTGTTGACTGCCCTTGCCATGTAGATACTGCTATTTTGCTGGAGTCCTCCAGATGTCAGAATCTGTAGACCTTTTGTCTGGAGCCATTTAGTGCCCCCAAAGAGAAATCCACCTAGCAGCCAGTATTTTCTTGCTCAACACTCAGTGTGCAGATTTTGATTAACCTACCCACTTTCCACACAGTGCCTCTCCCTCAAACTCCCTTCTCCCTGGGGCCCAGTAGTCTGGAGAAGCTGAACCAGCATGAGTCCACAAAATAAATTTGGTCTCTGCCAAGACTTAGAGTGCTAGTCACCCTGTTTTAACCAGGCCCCATGTTTTCCAATCCAGTCGTCATCCTAGTTTTTGCTAGTACCTGGCACCTTCTGATGCATACACTTTGCATTCACTTTGCATTCAGCTCTCTCTGCCATGCTTATTTCCCCATTGCTTCCTCTTCTAGATATTTGTTGCTATTATTTGCTCGCTGATGGCTTCTCACCTGTTTACTTTTTTCTTGTGAGTTGATACCACTTTTATTCGTAGCAGAAACCTACAAATGGTTTTAACAAAACAATCCACCAGGCAGAATGAAGGGTTTTGATTTTTTGGTGGAAGGGCTTACTTAATTTGAGTATATCTTTTATTTTCATATTTTAAATCTAGCTTTTTGTAGTGTTCACACATCCTCCCAACCCCTTGCTTTTTTCCCCAGGGATCAGAAGTTGCCTAGAAGGAAGAAGAGCCCTGATTTCCCTTTAAGCCTGTGATAATATGTATTTGCATAATAGGATAAGGTCCCTTAGAGGAACTGCCTTTCTGCAAGCCCAAACTCCTTAGATTATGAGATAGTACTTGTTTCTATTTTCAATGAAATTTTGAAAAGGTTACATCTTAATTATAGCAGATTAATCACTCTTAAGAGTATGTCTTACAAAGATGAAGGTGTGTGTGTGTATATTTAGAATAATGGTTGCGAGCACAAAGTCAAAAATAGCAGCAGTTAATATTGAGCTGCGACAATCATAAACCCTCTATATTAAAACTAGATAACTGAAGGCCTCCCTGGTGGCGCAGCGGTTGAGCGCTGGGTTGCGAAGCTGCCCGCAGCCTCTGCAGCACCGGTTCGATCCCCGGCTGTCCCCCGGCCACCGGAGAGGGTCCCACATGGTGCACAGACCTCTCCTGCCGCCCGCTGCTCCCCTCAGCAGTGTACTTCGGTCCTTCTGCCTGCTCTGCTCCCCGCCCTGGCTCTGGTGAATTCTCTCACCCTCCCGCACTTCTGACTGTACCCAGTGCTTGTATAAATAAATAAAATAAGTAAAAAAAAAAACAAAAAACTTTATAACTGAACATGAAAATCTGCCACTTGAGCTCTTTTTCTCACCTCTGAATTGCTTGACCTAGGGAAAACAGCTTTGTTGTCTTCTCTGTTATGGGCTGAATTGTATCCCCCTCAAATTTGCATTGAAATCCTAATCCCCCATAACCTCAGAATGTGACTAGCTGGAGAAGGATCTTTAAAGAGGTCACTGAGGTAAATGAAGTCGTTTGGGAAGGCCCTAATCCAGTAGGACTTGTGTCTAAGAGATTAGTATACACTTACCGAGAAGACCAGGTGAAGACAGAGAAAATAGCCATCTACAAGCCAAGTAGAAAGGTCTCCATGTGAAACCAACTCTGCTGACACCTTAATCTAAGGCTTCTAGCCACCTAAACTGTGAGGAGATAAATTTCCACTTTTATGCCCCACTGTGTGTAGTATTTGTTAGGCCAGCCCTAGCAAACTAATAAACCTTCCCTCCGTTTCTGATTTTAAAAACAATACTACCAGAGTGCCTCAAGTTCCCTAACCTTATTTCCAGTTGTATTCTGAGGGTTTTTAAATGAGCCAGGAAATAGTCTTAATCAGGAGATAGTCTTCTCTTTGGGTTGTGTCTTTTGTGAAGAGTAACTACATGGTCTTTGCTCTGCATTCCAAAGTGCGCAAATAGACATGGTTGCTGTGTACGTTTTCTTACCCAAAACACCTTGGAAGATTCCAGTGACATTTCCACTTCCATCTCTACCAAGGAGTGGCATTTGGGAATCTTTCAAGATGTTTTATCCAATTTGTAAGTATGGACTTGTGTCCATTCTTGAACAGGTATAGTCAATGAGAGAACTGCAAAAATGTGGTAATGAGAAATCTTGATCCCTTGTTTTGTTTTGTTTTTTCTTTTTTGTGGGACCCTCGCCGGCGGCTGGGGATCGAACTGGTGCTGCAGAGGCTGCGGGCAGCCTCGCAGCCCAGCGCTCAACCGCTGCGCCACCAGGGGAGGCCCCGGTCCTTTGTTCTTAGTGGAATTAATTATATCTTGGAGTTGGAGATAGTTACGTCTTAGATGTGACTGTTACATGACAACCACTTGAGTAGAAGGTGATAGCAATCTGGTAAGGTTATGATAATCAAGTGACTGCTCTTGAGGACTATAATTAAACATAGTAAATACTTCAGATTTTTTTTTTTTTTTCCGGGGAGCAGCCGGGGATCGAACCGGTGCTGCAGAGGCTGCGGGCAGCTTCGCAACCCAGCGCTCAACCGTTGCGCCACCAGGGAGGCCCTACTTTACATATTTTAAATGACTTGCAGGTGCTTGAAAACAGGCATTGCTTTTTAATAGAAATCCTCCTGTATTTAAAACTCATACTCTTGGGGCCTCCCTGGTGGTGCAAGGGGTTAAGTCACAGCACTCCGAGGCTAGCAGCAGCCACTGCAGCACGAGTTCGATCCACACATGGCATGGCAGATCTCTCCTGTCTCGCCCGCTGCTCCTCTCAGCCGTGTATTTCAGTAGGTCTGCCTGTTCTGTTCCCCACTCTGTCCTCTCTCATACACACCCCCCCACGCCTCTGGCCTGTACCCCAGTTCTTGCATGCATAAATCTTTTTTTTTAAAGATTTATTTATTTATTTATACAAGCACTGGGTACAGTCAGAGGCATGGGAGGGTGAGAGAATTCACCAGAGCCAGAACAGGGAACAGAACAGGCAGATGGACCGAAATATACTGCTGAGGGGAGCAGTGGGCGCGGCAGGAGAGGTCTGCGCGCCATGTGGGACCCTCGCAGGTGGCCGGGGATCGAACAGGCGCTGCAAAGGCTGTGGGCAGCTTCGCAGCCCAGCACTCAACCACTGCGCCACCAGGGGAGGCCCTGCACATATCTTTTTAAAAATTTTACTAAAAATCGTATTGTTAGACCTACCAGTTAAGATTGACTTGCTGCTACTACATTAACAGTAGGCAGTGGAAAAAGAATAAACTTAAGTCTTAGAGATGTGTTTAACAGCAAGAAACCTGAGGAAAAGCACAAGTTTTGCATTTTATTTATTTTATTTAACAATTTATATGTATTTTACATCATTGTTCTTTTTTTACAATGTTTTCTTTAACTATTTTTCTTAAACACATCAACTCTTCTCCATTTGTATTGTTTAATACCTCAGACCAGCTCTAAAATGTATTCTACTTCTAATAATAGAAGCAGACATGTTTTTGGCTGAGTGGCACCTCTTGGTGGGTTCTCCATCCCTCAGTCATCCTACATGGGATGGGGAGTGAACCTTTCATGATCTCTGCCAGCTGCACAGGTCTCCCAAGGTGTAATTCCAGCCCCTTGGTCATATTTAGCTAATGGATAAAGTACTTAGAAGTAAGTAGCATCAAATCAAAACCTCTGGTGTGGACCAACACCAGAGTAGTTAGAGGTCCAGGGCTTCCATGAAGGAAATTGTGAAACAGACTCTTGCTTCCCATGTCTCAAGTTCTTTAGAGCGTAGCCTGGTGCTGTTTGCCTGGATGTTACTATATCTCATCAATTCCAAAAATGCATGTTCCCCCCCATATTTTAGCCAATCTGAAAGGAATAGTGTCTTAGCTATTTTTATTAGTAATACAGAAAATAATGGTGGTCTTAGTCCAGGCTTATTGGTCAAGTATTCCATCTTTTTCTTGCTACCTAAGCCTGCTTTGTTTTTTTTGTAGTAATTTTTCACCCCTTTCAAAAGTTTCCTTTATTGCCACATTCCTAGAAGTGAACAATTAGGTTGAGGTGTCTTCTGTATATTAGCACACAGATCACATCCCTTTGGAAAATGAAGGTCAGGTAGAATTAGGGGCAGTCTGGGATAGTGATGCCGAGCCTCAGCCAAGCCACATTGTGATTTGTAACCTACTAACTGCATCCTTGGGCAAGTCACACAACCTTTCTGTTTCAGTTTCCTCATTTATAAAAATAGGACACATTTCATGGGTCACTGTGAAAATGATTTGTGTTTGTGTAAAGGGCCTCCCTCTATCTGGGCCACACGGAACTCACTCTCAGGGCTTTCATATGTGCAGGAGGAATCTGGGATTTGGAGATTGTCAGAAAGGCACCTCTGACAACTGTGAAAGTCATGACTTGGAAATCAGAGTTCTATCTTTGAGATGTTTAGCATCAAACATTTCAACAATGCTTGCACCAAATGCAAAATTGTACTTTTGAGTAAAAATTAAGAAATCACACAGGAACTCCGTGAATCTGTTACCACTTTGAGATACACATTGTACAATTTAAAACATCTGCAGTGGACATTTGACAAGTTAGTCAAATGCGTGAGCCCTCATTCCATTTGTAGCTAATGTGGGGTAAGGTGGTTTGCCAGCTCTTTCAATTACTTCTACCACGCTTTAGAAAGCTGAGAGCAAAAGTCCTTGATCCCAAATGGGCTCCTTTTAAAATGCATATAACATTGGTATGAGCATAACTTTAGCACATACCTTAGCTGTTGCTAGTCATTGACAACCTCTTTTGAAGTCTGTCAACTTGTTCATGTAGAAGGCTGAGAGCTTGACAGATTGGATGGTTTATTTCCTTGGAGGAGTAGGCACTAATTTGTGTTTCGTTTGCCAGGTCCAGTAAACTCAAGTAAGCTGAGAAGTGTGTATGTATGGGAGGTGTGGAGGTTTCAGTCTTTATGTAGTGGTGTTGGTGTCTGTAGGGTGAATAATTGTCAGGCTTTTCTGCCCTCCCGCCATTAGGATTGATTTAGATCCCTGCAGTCCTGAATGCACGCCTGATGGCGGGCACCTGGGGTAGGGCATGGGCATACGTAGGTGGGATACACCTGGGCTGAGACTGGGCTTATAAGGGCAGCGTCACTGCGACGCCAGCAGAGCGAAAGAAGCTGGAGAACAAGTCAGAGAATGGAACTAGCAGAGAAGCAGAAGCCACAAGAAAACATGTGAGAGAGCCCAGTAAAGAGTGAAGATTCGCTGGGAGCTAGGAGACCTGCCAGCCACCTGCCCTGTACCTGGTAAACTGAATAACAGCCACTGAGGGCTGCAGGACTTCTTCACTTGTCTGCTCGAATTGTAGAGATCCTGCTCCGCCCCTTCCTACTGCTACAGCAACCAATGTCACATGCGTCAGCACCCAGAGACAAAGTGGGCTAACTTTTTAGGATTATTCTGTAAACAGCCTTGGACTTGGTTGGGGAACTTGGACCCCGTATGAGTTCTGCCCCTTGCTGGGCAGATGCGTCATCTTTAAAACAGACCACCTGCCTAGAGTTCCTTTAATTACAAGGCCTTTTAGACAAGATCTTCTACATCTGTAGGGTTTGAGAAGCGAACCATACTGAAAAGCATGGGATATTTTCTGAAGATCAGGATTTCAGTCTTGGGCCTGACTCTGACTGGGAATGTGGGTAAGTCTTCACCCCTCTCAAAAAGTTATTATTTATTGCTATATTCCTAGAAGTGACAGGGTTAGGATGAGATGTTTTCTACGCATTTGCACATAAATCACCCCATTGGAAATAAAAAATGGGAACCTCTGTTATCTATAAACATAGAAATAATATCTGAAGTACTCGAAAGGATTGGGGGTCAGAATCAAATGAAATTGTGCCTGTGAAGTTGTAAAACCCTGTAGGTGGTTAGGATTCCTCAGTTAAATCAGATATCCCTTTATTTGGTCACAGGTTGAAGTGTATAGATAAAAGTAAAAAAACTACTAGTCTAGGAATAAGGGCATTTAAAGACATGCTAAAGCATTGTCTACAAAAGCACAAGGCTATTTGCAACATTTTTGACAAACTATTCTGTTAATTGGGACCTAAAAGTAAAGGAGGGAAAAACAGTTTGCCCTTTACCTTCTAAGTTCTTCCAAGCCACACTTCTCTAAACTGGAGGCCCTGTAGCAAAACATTAATAGTAGAAACACATTCAAGTCTACTTAAGTTCCACAAGACTTCATGTGGAACTTCAAAAGGAAATGAAACCCCAAAGAAGCAGTTAATCTTGAGCATTTTTATGCTATTTGAAGACTGAAAAACCATGGGAAAATATAAGATAAAAAAAGTCTATCAACTAAGTTGGGGAAAAAGCAAGACCTGTTCAGATTCCTCTTGGTGTCCCTTCATCTTCAGAGATAGGGCGCTGCTTTTCCTTCAGGTACACAGAAGACACTCATCTTAGCACCTGCTTCTGGGGAAGATCAAAAAGTCCTTGCAGGAACAATTTCTCAAATTCCTTAAACAGTGTGCCAAGGTGCCTTATTTTAGGGTATTGTCCTTATCACATCAATAGTAAATAGCGTTGCCAGCTCTACTTGTTTAATGTAACTCATTAATGAGTTACATCAATCTTTGACAACTTACATATTTGTATGAGAATTAAGCCTTAGCTGAAAATATTTTTGACATTAAAAAGTAACTTCATTTCCCTGTTGTGCTTTAAACATAATTATATGTTACTTTGCAATCTTTAGTGCAACAAACCTTGGAAACTTTCTAAACGCTGTCAGTTAATGCCTGTTTTAGAGTTGAAGCAGCAAATGGTTTCCACTTAGCATTGTGTTGTCAGTTGCAGTTATGCTCTGACTATTCTGTGCAAACGATTCTATCAGTATTTAGATTGCATTTTAAGTTTATGTGTTTTAAGGAAAACTTCAAAGATTTACAGTTTTAGTTGCTGAATAATATTAAAACTTCTCACCAGCTTTGATTTAAAAATGTTTTTATTGAAAACATTCGTTTGTAACCATTCAGGTGTACCACATTATAAATCAGCATGTAAAATGTCCACCTGAAGTTCAGTTCTCATCCTTTCTTACTTAGTTGTCTCCTTGAACTCACCTTCCTTTCTGACAGACCCTATTTTGTTCTTATAGTGTAAAAGTTTGCTTTTGTTTTATTTATTTCATTTCTTTATATTCCTTATGAGTGAATGGCTTTCTCTAACTTATTTCACTTAGTATAGTACCTTCTAGGTGCATCCATGCTACTGCACATGGCAAGGGGTCTTTTTTTTTTTTAGTACTCTTTTTTAAAAAGATTTATTTATTCATGCATACAAGAACCGGGGTACAGGCCGGATGTGCAGGAGGGTGAGAGGACTCACCAGAGACAGAGTGGGGAACAGAACAGGCAGACTGACTGAAATACACTGCTGAGGGGAGCAGCGAGTGAGATTGGAGAGGTCTGCCGCACCATGTGGGGACCGAAACCACACTGCAGAGGCTGCGGACAGCTTCACAGTGCTGTGCTCAACCGCCTGCGCCACCAGGGAGGCCCTGTCATTGTCTTTTTTTTAAATAGAAAAGTCAAATTCCATTGTATGTATACCATATCTTTTTCTGGTTGCCTGGTAAAGATGCATTTGTTTTTTCCAACTCTTGGCTGTTGTAAATAATGCTTCAATGAACCTGGGTGTGCATGTACCCCTTGGAATTAGGATTTTTTGTGGGGTTTTTGTTTGTTTTGGTAAATATCCAGAAGAGGGATAACTGGATCACATGAAATTTCTAATTTTTTAAGAAATCTCAGTACTGCTTTCCATAATGTCTGCACTAATTTACATTCCCAGTAGCATTGGGCAAGAGTTCCCTTCTCTCCACATCTTCTCCCAACAATTGTTGTTTCTTGTCTTTTGGGTAATAGTCATTTTCACAAGTATGAGATGGTATCTTGTTTTAATTTGTGTTTCCCTAATAGGAGATGATGAATATCTTTTCATGTGCCTATTAGCCACCTGGATGTTTGTCTTTGGAGAAGTGTTTATTCAAATCCTCTGCCCATTTTGTAATCAGGTTTTTTTTTTTTTTTTTTTTGTGGTTGAGTTTTCTTTATGTATTTCGGACATTACTCTTATTGGAAATATGATTTGCAGAGACTTCTTCCATTCAGTAGAATAACTTAGTTTTGGTGTTAGTTTCTTCCAGTGTGTAGTAACTTTTTAGTTTGATGTAGTTCCATTTGTTTGTTTTTGTTTCCCTTATTGTTGGAGTTGAATTTCCAAAGGCATCTATAAGCCTCGTGTCAATAAACATATCACCTATGGTTTTTTCTACATATTTTGTGGTTCTAAGTCAAACATTCAAGGTTTTTTTTAATATTTTAATTTTATATAGTTTTTATATCATTTTTCATTTTTGCACAATGTATGCATTTTCATCTTGGTTATAGTCCCCATACAATTCCCACCCCCACCTTGTTTTGATCCTACTCCCCCCTCCTCCCCCTGTACTGTGTGTCTGGTTTATAGTTGCATGTTGATTTTGATTTTTACTTTATTATAATTAGTCTTTTTCCTGGTCCCTTATATAGGTTTTCTAAATTCCTGCTATGAGTGAGACCATCTGGTATTTTTCTTTTTCTTTCTGGCTTATTTCACTGAGCATGATCCCTTCCAGCTCTATTCATGTTGGTGCAAATTGCATGATTCATGTTGCTGCAAATTGCATGAGTTTATCTTTTTTGATTGCTGAGTAATATTCCATAGTGTATATGTACCACATCTTCTTGATCCAGTCATCTATTTTTGGGCATTTGGGTTGCTTCCATAGCTTAGCTATTGTGAATAGTGCTGCTATAAACATAGGGGTGCAGGTGCCCTTTTGAATTAATGTTTCTGTGTCCTTTGGGTAAATACCTAGCAGTGGAATTGCTGGATCATATGGAAGCTCCATCTTTAGCAGGTTGAGGAATCTCCACACAGCTCTCCACAGTGGTTGGACCAGTTTGCACTCCCACCAACAGTGCAGGACGGTTCCTTTTTCTTCACATCCTTGCCAACATTTGTTGTAGCTAGTTTTTTTTTTTAATATGTGCCATTCTCACTGGTGTAAGATGGCATCTCATTGTAGTTTTGATTTGCATTTCCCTGATTACAAGTGATGTTGGACATTTTTTCATATGCCTGTTGGCCATTTGCATTTCCTCTTTGGAGAAGTTTCTTTTTAGCTCTTCTGCCCATTTTTTGACTGGATTGTTTACTTTGTTTTTGATGAGTCTCTTCAGCTCTTTGTAGATTTTTATGATCAGTCCTTTATCAGTAGTGTTGTGTGTCAAAATTTTCTCCCAGTCAGTGGGGTGGTCTCTGTTTTGGTTACTGTCTCTTTTGCTGTACAGAAGCTCTTTAATTTAATGTAGTCCCATCTGTTTATCTTTGCCTTCACTATCACTGCTTTGGGTGATGTGTCTTTAAAGAAAACATTCAAGTTTTTAATCCATTTTGAATTACCTTTTTGTGTATTCATCAACTTGATTTTTAAGGGAGATTAAATATTTGAGCAAAGTGGAAGTGTGATGAAAGTTTTCCCTTTCTGATTAGAAGACCTAGGTCAGATAGTATTACCCATATTTAACTTATTTAACTTACTTGATAATTGTTTGAGCCACTAGAAACTGAAAAAAAGCAGGTGGCACAGTGGGAAAATTTACTGCAGGATTTAGTGGGGCAAAATTTATAGCAGTAGTTCAAAGAGAATGAGCTACTTCTAGTTAAAATGTCTCTCGAGAAGTTTCTTAAGGTACAGTTATGCCAAGACAGTCAGAAAGACATAAAATTCCAGCAAGCCAAGATTACGTTTGTAGTCCATATTTTAAGTCAGTCAACAATAAAAATAAAAGATGGAAAAGAAAACATCTGTAGTACCTACATGTGAAATGTCTTTAAAATCTGTTGTTTTTTTTTTTTTTTCTATACTGTTAAGATTACCTTCTGTCTATGCGCAATTTATAAATGTTTTATGGCCCCAGGTACATACCTCCCAGTGGCACAAACCCCATCCACTGGTTCCATTCCCTGCCTCTTGCCTCCCCCTGGATGTGCCAGGGACTTGGCCAGAGCTTTATGGTGAACCAGGGGAACAAACAGGACCAGCAGTTTAGGGGAGTAAACTGTAAGAACTACAGGAACACCGGGTCCTCTTCCACCAGGGCTAGTGGGAGAGAGATGTTCTGACTTGCCTTAGAGCAGGTAATACCTTGTGCTTTTTTTTTTTTAAATGCTTGTTCTATGACCATTTTAATGCCCAAAACAATAAAAATAATAAATCCTTGGTTGGTATTGACTGAAGTTCTAGTAGTGAAAATCCAGTTTATAGATGTTTATATTAATAATATGGTATAACAAATACTACATTTGGAATAAAGTGAAAAGCAGCTTGGCAAAAGACTTTTGAGGGATGACTAGGAATCAGGGATCCTAGATCCCTGGATTTAGACACTGCAAACCCTGGGTCCTCTCTTGCATTAGGCCTGAACTTCTTCCTGTATAGACACCACTCCAGATCTGTCCTTGTAAACTGAAAATGCAGTGTTCATACAAACGTGCCATTTGGAGTGAGGCAGGAGTTGCTTTGTGAGCGCAACCTAATTGAGTGATGGCAAATCAATGTTATATCATTCCTGCTAATGAAGAACAGATAGAAAATAACAGTTATTACTCATCTTTCATCTCCAACACTTTCATCAGCGTAGCATCGCTTTGAGGCTAAGAACACATGCTCTGCAGAGAAATTGTGTTGCTTGAAATTCTGCTTCAACACTTCCTAGTTTATGACATCAGCTACATTAACCAACCTCTGGGCGCCCCAGTTTTTACGAGAATGACAATTTTCTATGCAATTGTGATTATTTAACTGTATATGGTATATTTAACACGTACACTCATAACTTTCCTTATTACCTTTGCTGAGTGATTAATTGAGGCAGAAACAACTACCTCAATACTTGAAACAAAACCCTGATTTTTAGTTGGGTGGCCTGTGCTCAACTCAAAGACAGAATTTCTAGTCTTTGTCACAGAAGTTTTTGTCAGTGAGATGTAAAAAGCATGGTATGGAGATCAGAAGTCATGTTATATAGGAGAGTGAGTGCCCTTTTTTAGTCTTTTCCCCACTGAGCTTAGATGGGATAGGGAACTCTTGTGGCTTTGTGGTCAGTCTTGACCCTAGGCTTGTAGAAGTGGTGAACAAAAGGTAGCCTGGATCCTTAACAAATTTATTGAGTTGCTGTACTTGCTTTGGACTGCCTAGCTTTAAAATTCTTTCATGGCTGTGTTCAGATCACCTGGAGGGCTTATTAGAACAGATTTCTAGGCCCTTCCCCTAAAATTTCTTTAGTAAGTCTTGTGTGGAGTCCCAAGAATCTGCATTTCTAACAAGTTCCCAAGTGATATGAATGGTGCTGATTCTGTTATAGAGCAGGGAGAGGGTCAGCCCAAGCCCCGCAAAACTGCCTATTTTAAATGGGTTCTGCCATCCGCCGCATCAACACAAAACATATGAGACTTTAATGGGAAGGAACTTTAATAAAACTAGGAAACAATACAGGTAAGGCAAAGAATCTAGTTTCTAAATTAAGCACCCAAAGTTACCCATCCCCTCGTGGGTAAAAGTCCATCCAAATGGGATTGGCCCAGAGCAAGGCCCCAAGGCCTGCCACAAGTCTAAAGCATCTTCCAGTGGGGACCCACAAAAAAGGGTCACAAACAACCGGACAAGCCCGGAAGGAAAAGAGCAAAATCAACATCAAGATAAAAGCTGCCATTGTCACCTCCCCATGGGTCTCACCCACATCTGTGTCACCCAGTCCACGACCAAAAGACAAGCGCAGTTTCTTCACGTGTCTCTAGGCTCCATGCGCCTCCTCCAGGTCTCCTTCTGGCTCCATCCTGCTTCCTTCCTTAGTCTCTTCTGCAGCTTCTTCTCTCCCTGCTCAGCTCCACCCTCCCTTGGGTGGGGCAGGGAACCTCCCCCTTTCCTGGGGACCACCCTGTTGCAATTCCAGGACCATGTTTTGTAAGCCAAGATTCTATGTGTTAGGGAAATGAGTACTGAGTACCTGGCATGTGCTGGGCCTCTATAAAAACAACTAAGACATGAACCATGATGTGATAGTGGTTACCTCCTAGCTGATACTTATGTGGAATTCACTTGGGTCAGATCCATGATAGAGTTTACAAGAGAGCGATGAACAGCCAATGATTTCCCATCACTCAATTCTGAAAAAGTGGAGAGACACAAGGGCAAGGCTGAGGAGAGACCCGTAAATGCAGTGGTTATCAAGATTGGAATCACCTGAGGAACTTGAAAATACTGATGCCTGGGCCTATCTCCAGGGATTCTGATATAATTGGTCTGGGTTGGGTCCTGCATATCTGGATTGTTTAAAATGCCTTGGTGAGTCTCACGTGCATCCCAGGTTGAAAACCACTGATCTTAGCTAACACCAAGAGGTGAGGTCATTGCCCCAAGGTCACACACATCATCAGAAACAGGTTTGACCAGCTGAATGCTCTTCAGATGCTTGTCTGACCTTTGAAACCTGCCCGCAGCCAGGTGCTCTGCCAGTTTTATTCTCCCTGGCCCTTAATTGTCAGTGACATAGGATGTGTGGTGCTGTAAGCACACATCTGCTCCAGCTCCATGATAGAGGACTTAGCGCAGCTCACTAGTTTTCCTAACAGATTTTCCTTGGTGACAGCAAAACAGATCTTTTTAATTAGCAGTAGATAATGAATTTAAACAGCATTGAAGTCGTTCCAAAATCTCCCATAACTACCCTAAATAACATCGTTCGTGAGGTACTCTCGTGGGGTGGATTGTTAAGAAATATCTGTGGTAGAACACAGCTGAAAACCCTCTGTGGGATTATTTTCCTTGGTTTTACTTTGATGATTGTTGGGTTAGAACCAGAGTCTGTCAGAGCTGCAAGGACTTTACTGTTATAATGTTATCTTCTCCCCTTACTGGATATGCTTATCTTGTCTACTTTTCTCTGTTATGTGACCCTCCTGGTAGCAGGGAGTTCATTCTCCGTCTCCCAAAAAGCCCTCTCAGAATGTCCTTCCTTTCACTAAGTTGAGAAGGTTCCCTTAACTTCCACCCTTGATCCCAGTTCAGCTCTCAGAAAATTCAGTCCCAGCCCTTCACTGCTAAGGGATCAGGGCAGCTTCCCTGGGGGCATCCTAAAGGATTTGAATAGATGTTTTTGTTTGGGATGAATACTGCTGCTGTTGGCTTCTGGAGGGACTGGGAAAATAACACATTGTCCTGTGGCCCTGAAAGTGCTTGCAAATGAACTTCTCTTTCCCCTAAATTTCTGTGGAATTGGCAGTGGATATTTTGATTCATATTTCTCTGAAAGAAAAGAAAAATATTGCCTATCTTGAAGCCATTGCTCTGTGGGCATGCTCAACTTGTTAGAGTGGTAGTGTCTTCCTAGGTAATATTCTGTTGAGAAAGAGGGGTTTTGCCTCCATTCCCTACCTGATGTAGCCTCACTGGACAAGCTGTTCCATCACTAGGTCGGTAACATGGAATCACATGAACTAAAGGTTTCAGTTTCTTTCAACTTTTGAAAGTAAATTTCATAAAATGAGATCATAAAAGAAAATGAGCTAGTGCTTTATTGATGGGGCAAGATAAATGAATTAATTTTGTTTCATCTCTGCTTTCAAAAAGAATTTTTTTTAAGTTACAAGATTTAAAGATACTGTACAGTCACATCCTGTGTTTTGTTAAATCAAAATGTACTCTAACACAAGTGATGTGCTGCTGTATAATTTTACCATAATCATTCAGCATTAGTGTCAGACTCACTAGATTTAAGGAATGGTTCCCAGCAAGATCACCCTTTCATCAGATACCACATTTTGGGAGTCTCGGGACACCCATACTTATCACTGGCTGCAAATTCAAATTCCCACAACATTCTCAGGTTCAATGATTCAGTATGACTCACTAAGCTTGGGAAAGCACTATGCCTTTGACTACAGTTTTTTAATAAAGGATACAAATCAGGACCAGCCAAATTAAAAGATGAATAGGGGAGGTTTAGAAGGGTCCAGAATGCAGAACTTCCTTGTCCTCTTGTTATAGAGCAACCCCGATATTAAACGGGTTCCTGGCTGTGGGTCCTCACCCGCACGCTTTAAAGGGACTTATGAATACTCTACTACAGACACACACAAAAGGGTTAATAAAAGGTTTATTTACAAGAGAAAAAGAAATAAGGAAAATGTACAACTCAGGGAGAAAATAGGGAAATAAAGTCTTTAATGCGTCCTACCCGATCCGACGACCTGGAAACCCAAAGTCACTCTCCGAGCTGGCCGAGAGCCCAAAAATGGAGAGCCCCCAAAGCCCACGTGTCTGCCTTTTGTATCCACCTGGCTGCTTAACCCCACCCTCAGGTCCCAGCCACCTTCCCTTTGGTGGTGATGGAATTTGGAGTTCCCAGTGTCTTTGGCTTTGACCTGGGGTGGGGGTGGAGTCCACAAAGCCTATATGGAATTTGCTTTGGGACATCCTTTTCCCCCTAACACTCTCAGTAAAACAATGTATTCACCAATCAGGAAGTTTCAGTCAGTTCAATATCTTTATTATTTGTTGTGGTCTCCTTATATGGGCATCATTGATTAAATCATTGACCTTTAGGACAATTTGATATCTAGTCTCCCTTCGCTCCCTGAAAGTTGTGCTGGCTCAGAGTCCCAATCATTTAATCACATGGCCTTTCTAATCAAGATGTGATTAGATTATGACTAGATCATATCTTGAGTCATCTTATCTCTTAACATAAACTCAGGTGAGATCCAAGAGGCTCCAGGGTACCAAAGATACTAATATTACTTGGGAAATTCCAAGGATTTAGTCTCCCACCCAGGAACAAAGGACAAAGACCAGTCAGATTTTGTTTTGTACAATAGGAGGGTTCATCTAAATGTGCTTTTAGAGTAGTAAGAGGGAAAACTGAGGTACTATCTACAATGTACCCATTACTACAATCGGTATGTACCCTGAAGTGACAAATCATGATTCCTTTATTTGGTTGCCACACATTTCTCACAGGATTTTGTAATGCCAGTGTTTTAAAAGCTTGTACTCTTGATTATATTGCACATTATTTAACATACATCTATATTTATATATATGTATAGTTGGCCTCAAACAAAAGCAATCAGTTATTCTAAGAAAATCGGGTTATTCAGAAACAGTAGAAAAGAGGGCAGATCAGAATATGTTCACGGTGAGACCTGTGTACACTTGCCTGAATCTAAGCTGAACCTCTGCATGATCTGAAGGGCCTCTTTCCCTCTGTCAGAGGGGGAAATCCACCTCCCACGGGAAATGCAAGGCATGTTGGATTTTTTAGTTTGCTGTTTTGTACATGCTTGGGCAACTCTTCCTGTTGTCCAGACTTCATTTGGATAGGGTCCTGAACGTTAATGTTCACAGTACATATCACATATGCAAAACCATGATCCATATGGCCATTCTTTATAGGTAGTTTTCAAGGTAATTTTGGCTATATATGTTTTTTTTACCTTACTTATGGACTTTCGAGCCATGTAAAATGGTGTTCTAATATGCAATATCCCAGGCAGATGCTTTACTGACTTTCTAGGAGTTTAATCATCCAAATCCATTTGAACATTTCTGGTGACAAAGAGCTCCCAAATTTACGTCAACCCATTCAGTTATTGGGAAGTCCTCCTGGTAAGAGTAGTTTCTTATATTGAGTCATCTGCCTCTGATCCTGTGTCTACCCTCTGGAGTAACACAGAAGACGCCCTGTTATAAGAGAGGACTTTTAGTATTTGAAAACAGATCCAGAGGTCCACGTACTCAGTGTTCTTCCTCAGTTTCTTTAACCATTTTTCACATTCTTCTACATACATGTTTTTAGGACAAACTCCTCAGCCTTCTGGTGAATATTTGATGTCCCTTGCAAAGTATAATGCCAAGAACAGAATATTCCGAGAGTGGTTCAGCAATAATAGCAAGGCTGTTACATTTCTTGATTTGATAGTCTGTGCCCATTAATTCATTCTGAGATTACACTTTTTTTTAGCCAAAGTGCACCTCCTCAGTCTTTTTCACAGATTAAATAAGTGTACTTGGATACCTGTTCTGTGGATGCCCCACATCCCTCTAATCTCCTGTTGACTGCATTGGGAGTTTCCTTTGGCCAGCCACATCCCCGTTCTCACTCCCTGTGCTCAGAGATGGGCGCATAACCCCCTGTTTATGATGATCAGTCCTCCCTTTTTTGTGCTTCTTTATGAAGATTATGAAGACCTCTCAAGTCATAAGCACTATAGATGAACCATTCTCTATAGTTTCCCAGTGGAAATTATTGCCATTTCATCAGTTATTTTGCTTCTTTGGTTTCCTCTTTCAGTTTAGGGTATTATTTCTCCAGTAAGAAATCTTGAACTGGTGAATGCATTCTTCCTTATCCTCTGATGATAACGATAGGCCCTCATTCCTGGCTTGGGATTCAGTATTCTCATGGCTTTCTTATAAACATCATAGCCAAAATTCTGTACCTCACACCATCTACACAACTAGCTCTTTGCTTCTCAAATTCTCTTTGCTCTAACTTTTAACTTTTATGTTCTTGGAAAACAGGACATTAAATAAAGTAAGATTTATGCAACCATGTCGTTCACCTGCCATAGTAAGAAGCAGTCGGATATATATAGCATTCTAAAGAAGTCATTACTTTGGGGTTCTAGTCCCACTCTTTGGCTTCTTGCTGGCTCTGTAAGCTTGAGCAAGCCATTTTAATCCTTTGGGGTTTTCTCATTTAACTGGTGGGGATAATAACGTCTGTCATATGTCCATATCTCAGAGTTACGTTGAACACAAAATGCAGTGATGTACATGAAAGTGTAGCCGAACTAAGCATTACACTACACACGGGGCATTACCAGGGCGGCTTGTGAAATTGCACTAAGTTTGTATAATTTCAACATTTCATCCACTTATGATCTGTAAGTCTTACTTCACTGAGTCATCAGAATAGAAGGAAAAACAAGACTAATCAATTTGCTGGTCTCATTAATCTTCACTTGATCCTGAAGTCTCTACTAGTTAAAAGCACTCAGAAACTCACAGCAAAGAGCTTTAGGACTAGTGGAATTGTTCTCACTTTTAAACAGGCCTAAATGAAACAGTGCCCACTGATAAGCGCTGCAATTAACTGCTTTGCTATCACTTTCAACAAACCTTTTTCTACATTCCTGGCCACTGGGGAAAGGAGGAGGAAGGAGAGAGATAAAAATATTGGCTTGTTTTCATGTTGGTAATTTACAACTGATAAAAATTAATTGCTGGCCTTATCAGTGGGTTGTCTGGAAGGTTTGTTTAGAATCTACTGGCTACTTATAAAGCCTCAAGGAAGGAAGAGGTGACAGATTTGGGGTTGTCCTGTACCATAATTCCTAATCAATTTGAAATAAAGGCTGTTGAGAAAACAGGTTTTACAAGGGATTTACAAGTTCAAAGCAAAGGAGTTTAAAAGTAAATGACTTCATGTGAATATTATTTTGTGCCTAAAAATAGGAAGACAAATGATTACCAGAAAGTCAGCCATAGGGCACGGAATAAATGTGTGTGAGTGAGCAGCCCCACCCCTGTCCCCAGTCAAAGGCACTCAGTGCCTCTGAACTCATTGACCATGAATCTGTCATCAGGTCTTTACCAGCATATGTAATTTGATAGATAGACCATCAACATTTAAAAATTCAAAACATTTAAGTAAATATGAAGAGGGAAATACCATCCACAATCACCCTCCCAGCTGTTGTTCATACATATATAGATATTCCCCAGGTGGTGGAAACAAATTTTAGCACCATTATATGAAAAAGAAATTCCTAGGTAAATTAAACTTGTCATCAGGGTAGATCTAAAGTCTAAATTCAGTCAGTTTTAGGCAATGGTCTCCAACCCATAAGTCCACAGAACCCTTGGCAAACTTAGTCCCAGACTATAAGAGGAGAGTGAACTGAGGTCTGTGGTCCTCATCTCTACCAGTGGGCCATGGAGCTTGTCCTCTGATGCACTGTCCACTCCCCAGAAAGCCCCTCTCAGCCCTACCCTGAATGCTGCTTCCAAGTTGCAGTACTTAAGAGTCCAGATGCCATCTGTCCTACAGATGTCACCAGTAAGGACTCCATGTATAGGTAGTGACTTTTGAAACAGAGTCTCTACTTTCTTCCCAGGTTCAGGAAGTCCCTATCTACTGTCCCACCAGACTAAGCCAGTTACCCCTCTTTAACTCAAGCCCCAACTTTCATCCCCTGCCTTGGTTTCCAGCATAATCCCCACTCCCTCAACTTCTAAATTAAAAAAAATTATAAAGTGGAGCCTCCTGCTAATTCTTGGTTTTGATCCTGAAATACCAAAGTCCTGTGTAACCCACTGAGTTAAGAGATTCAGAACTACCAAAAACAAAACAAATGCAGCAACAAGAAAACAAATAATTGGTTATTCTACTTGAGGAGGAAACGAATAGTACAAATTACCTTTTTATTCAAAAAGTTTCCTACATTAGCAACAGTAAGTTTTAGCAAAATTATCAAAATAAATTATTTTGTCATACACAAATATGTGTAAAAATGTACATATAGGGCCTCCCCTGG